TTGTGAGACGTTGAGGGTCCCACATTATCTAGACCAGCCATGTCAAACATGCGGCCCCCATAGCCACAAAGTACGGCCCCTCAACTTTTAGAGCTAATTGATATTAAAATCAATATTAAAATTTTAGTAGAAATATTTTTTGTAGAGACAATTTTCCAACAGACCAGAAGACAAGAAGTCTCACGTAGACATAAATTAGCAGGCTGCAGGAAAAGTGATTCTGAGAATTGCAGAAGGGTTTGTCCAACTAACGGTTTNGTTGTCAGCCTTACGCACCGGCCACGCTTTACTCCCCAGGAAAATTATTTAATTAATTCCTGGTACTCATTACTGTTAGAGGCTGAGTCGACCCAAGGGCCATAGTGTGGCTGGAAGAATTAGGTCACTTGAAAAAATCCAATGACCTTATCGGGATTTGAACCCGAAACCTTCCGGCTTGTAGCATAGTGCCTCAACCAACTACGCTACCACGTGCCCCCTGATCCTGTTTAGTAGTGGAAAATTAAATTATTTCGGCGTCTCTGAGTGAGCATAATTTTATTAGGCATTATAGGGAGCTGCTCTAGAAAACTAAAGCTCACTGTGTACCGTGTCATTATTCATCCAGTGGTGCTACATGGATGCGAAACGCGGACCCTTACAAGAACCGGCTTCGAGTGCGGAAGAGGAAGGTCTTTCACAAGATCTCGCAGTCTGCGAACATGGGGAGTGCGCATTAGGAAAATGACTAGGTCTGTAAGCTCTATGTTGAGCTTGGACTAGGTTCATGTGGTGGGGATGCAGGAGGGTGGAGTTCCCAGGAACATTTCTGATCAGCATCCTGGGTGCAGGAGGAAACCTGGCAGGCCGAGAAAGAGATTGTTGGATGATGTCACCAAGGATCCGGAAGCCCTTGCACTTCGAGGCTGGAGGAGGCGGCCCTTGGATAGGGAAGAATGGATGAAAGCTGTAAGATAGGCCGGGGCCCTTCGTGGACTGTAGTGCCGGGGGATTGATTAATTATAGGGAGCTGTGTCCATGCACTCTACCATCGCCATGGTGGGCAAGGGGCATTTGTGATACCATCCATTACCAGATTGGTTTGGATAACGGTAACGCTTAAGATTTGTATTCGAGAGGTGCTCGGTTCGAAACACAGCTGGGACGTAGCTCATCTCATTGTACATGGTATTTCTCAGTTCCTTCAGGATAATTACATGGCAGTACCTTGATTACGCCACGATAACTTCCTTTAAAGTCCCTTCCAATTCATTATTTATCAATCATTCTACTATTCAGCGCTATATACATAGTACAGATACAGAAATCCATTAAACAACAAAAAATATCAGCAATTGTAAATTATTTATATTTTACACAATTACAGTACTTTATGATCTCCTTGTTTTGTCGCAGAATACAGTGACTCGCAATATTTCGCTTGCAAGACGCACTTATGATGACGTTTCTATCTAAGACCACTGTAACTTTTCAACCTGGCACCAACTCTCGGCGCCTGCAATACCGACTTAAGTCTCACCATGCATCGTGCTATGATCGATGCGAAATTTGCTTGCCTGCTAACATCATGTAGCCAGTGCTTGAATACTGTTTTGTCCTTATTAAATCACGTACCCTCACTAAATAATTCCCTCACTCACTCATGGAACTGAGCCCTTCTTGAGAAGCTGCCAATTGTGCAGCTACTCAGGAACTTCCCAATATTTTATGGAGCCAGAAATTTCATTACCGTGTTCAAAAGAGTCCTCCACTGGTCCCTAACCTGAGCCAGATCATTCCAATCCATACCATCCCATCCTATCTCTCTAAGATCCATTTTAATATTGTCCACCCACCTACGCCTTGGTCTTCCCAATGGTCTCTTTCCTTCTGGCTTTCCCACCAATATCCTATATGCATTCCTCTTCTAACCCCATTCGTGCTACATTCCCTACTCATCTCATCCTTCTTGATCATTCTAATTATACTTGGAGAAGAGTACAAGTTATGAAGTTCCTAATTATGTAGTTTTCTCCGACCTCCCTTCACTTCATCTCTCTTCGGTTCAAATATTCTCAACACCCTGTTCTCTAACACCCTCAGTCTATGTTCCTCTCTTAATGTCAGAGACCAACTTTCACATCCATATAAAACAACAGGAAAAATTATGATTTCGTATGTATACAGGATACAGAAATTAAATTGTCACATGTGCTTAAACATCGAGCTGTTAAAAATCATAGCAAAGTTTAGGGACAGATCTACGCGCTCTTAACCAAGACTATCAATGGGGGGATAGCGGTCTGTTTCATGCTCTGGCCACCTTATTCTCGTATAACCTGTCCTCGATACTGGCTGGATGGACTCTCATAGTTGGTGCAGATGTGGTGATGAATCTTGCCCCCTACCGGGGATTGAACACCGGTCGTTTAGTCACTTGACTGACTTAGTGTGATAGTATCTTTTTCCTTACACGCTTAAATATAGTCATATAAACATATAAGACGACATTCGTGTCAAGACTTCCGATACATCTGATGCTGGATATCACGAACCGGTGCTCAAGGCTGTAATATGATGCAGGCCTTCTCAGGCCTGGCGCACAACTTCTGAGCGTTAATGCAGAGATAAAATAAAGTGGTCCCTATGCTTAAGTAATTAAGCGCTACGCCATGAAGACGTATGGGGAAGTGGATGTATAGATCCACGTATTCTCGTCCTCATTACTAGTTGGAGGTGACTCCCCGGTAGCTTTACCCTCGGGGAAGGAGTCCTCGGTACCCATTGGATAGGAGGCTGGGTGGGCCCCAGAACCGGTCTGGATGAATTGATTGGAGAAAAACTTTGGCCTAAGCGGGAGCCGAACTTCGACCCTTCGGCCATCCAGCCCGTAGCCGATCGCTATACCTACTGCGCTTCCCGGCTCCTTAATCGAATGATAACTTTATACAAAATATGCATCCCAGTTACTTGAAAAGTTACCTGCCCATTATCAACTTTGTCATTAAAGTAAATTTAAACTAGCAGAAAATAATTACTAGAGTTGATGCCTGTATTGTTACAAAACAATGCTAGTGCAGGCCCACAGTTTTACAATATGCATGACAATGAAAACCGAAATTTTAAATTTATAACGGACGTTTTCCCTCGAACCGTAATACTTTTGATTTGTATTCAGGAAGTACCCGTTTCGAATCTCCGCCGTGACATCAGCTGTCCTAATAGTTTCCTCTTTGTTTTCTTCAGTTCCTCCAGGCCAATTCCGGAACGTTGCTTTGAATTATACCAGGATCATTTCCTGCTACATCCTTTCCACTTTACTATTCGGTATCTACTGAGCATTCGATGATATATAACTTCAGTTACTGAGAGCGTCTCTAAATGACTACATTGAAATGAAATACATATACTCGTATATTAGCAGGTTTTTGATTTTTACATTAATATTATTTCGTCTTTACTGCGTCGTGTTATCGTTGCCAACCGGCATCCATGATTTATTGGCGCCTATTGCTAACTATGAACGGTTGATTAAAATCATATACCACTTGATTTACTAAGCCGATTGTCAAGAAAATGTGGGGACCTCGACGTCTCACAACCATATGGGCCTCCGCAGTCTCTTACAGGGATAGATTTACCTTTCTTTTATCACTAATTCTATTTCTGAATCGCAGCTTCTTCAGCGCTGTTATGATACAGAAGACACCATCGTTTACTCGCATGCCAAAAGAGCAGCTTCGAGTATAATTTGTATATTTTAAGGACAGAAGGTTTCCAGGGCAATCTAGGTAAAAGCCCTGGCAGAAAGGGAGAAGGGCTGAGTTGCTCGACGTTCTTGTTTTGAGTTCCAGTAATGTATATCACATTTCCTATCGTGATAAAATAGACGAGCGATTTCAACAGAGTTATATTTGATTATTTAAAAGTGATAACTTACTATGCATATTAAATATGGCTGGGGGCACGCGGTAGCGTAATTGGTTGAGGCACTGTGCTAAAAGCCGAAAGAGTGTGGGTTCAGTTCTCGAAGAGGTCATTCGATTTTTCAATCGACCTAATCCTTCCAGCGACACTATGGCCCTGGAATCGACTCAGCTCTTAATAGAAATAAGTACCAGGAATCTTCCGGGGGGTGGGTAAAGGGCGGCCGGACAGAGTTCTGTGAACCGATTGTTTGGAAAATGCAGGATCCTCGACGTTTCACAGCCCTATGGGCCACTAGGACCTTTTCTAAGGATAGCTCTACTTTTTTTATTAAATGTTGCTGATTCTGACAATTACTTGCCAAGTTTCTTCGAATTTCTTAATCAATATATTATGTAGATTAAATCAGAAAATTCTGTGTTGATTTAAATACAAGTTATCTAACGAAAATAAGAAATGATAATTCTGTCTCTTCTATATGAAACTTAAATTTTTTGTTCCCTCTTCCGTGCATATAACGATGCATGAAACTAAAGTTGATGAGATGTATAGAGAAAGATTGGGATCTGTTTATCTCGTACATAGCCTATTCTTTCTGCTGTAAAATCGACACATTATATAGAAGAGAAATATATTTTAAGTCTTGAAGATTTACTGAAACTAAAAGTGATAAAATCTTCTCCTGTGGCGGCCGTCTCAATCCAAAGTCGAAAGTCGAGCGTTCCGGAGACATCCGTCATTTTCATCACGAAAATATTGCTGGTTGTTCGAGAAAATTCTCTCAATAAAATATATTTGGCGTCATACAATAATAAATTTTCCGGAAACTTTTCCAAAGTTATAATTTTTTTTTATTGGAAACACGTTTCGGCGACTGGACCCTGTCTCCGTAACGTCTGTGCAAATAACTGTCCAGAAATTAGATTTTATTGACTTATATTAACTTTATATTTTGTGTTTTATTTTATTGGTTTGCCTAATACCAAACTGCAAGTTCAAGGAGTTGTTGTATATACACTAAATACACTATTATTACTCTTTATATATGTTTGAGGTCTGTAATAACACATATTTTAAAATAAGATGTCACTTACGATATGTATGTAGATCTTCACCGTGTGTCCAGCACCAACAGTTTATAAAAGTTGCACTTAGTGTTGACTTCTTACCGATGAAACGTTTGGTATATAATCACCGTTTACACAAAAATTAAGTCACATTTAACAATATAATTGTGATTTTCGAATCAACCTATACTTTGTTTCTGTGTCAAACACCTCTATTTGCTATGTCGCAAGACGATTGGTTTATCTGAAGAAACACGTATCGTCTCTCTCTCGCTCCCGACCTGTAGTCGCGAACCTCAGCAATGCACAATCATGGGGCTTTTCGAGATGGACTTACCGATGCCTGGCACAACAGTACAGTGACAAGTAATTTATCTAGGGAGGTAGCTGTACTCTGATATGTTGTAACCTTCCGCAATGCATACCAGGTAGCTGGTATGGTCTGGTCTGGTCTGGTCTGGAAGAAAGACTGAAATCACTAACACCTGAACTTTCTCTGAATGTGAAAAATATATGAACCTATTTATCGATAATTAAACTGAGAAATTGCTTTTCTTCTTTGCACTCGACTATTAATTACAAACGAACTTATTTACAAGTCCAGTGAAACTCAACCTGGCTTGTCTGTGCTTTGAAGACAACTAAAGACAAGAACTGCTTTCTAAAGATCGAGAATACGCTACTGTAAAGGGGAGCAAGGAGTGGACATTACCACCACTACCTGAACTACCAGTCTGTACCTAGCGCCACGAAATTCTGCCTCGAGGGGTAAAAACTGAAGACAAGAAAACAGGCTGCAGACTGTCAGTGTTGGGAGCTCCTTCCTCTGCTCACGTGACCTACAAGAACGCCCCCAGACAAGTAAGAAATGTTCCTCTACCTCCAGCAGCCACCAAGAAATCCAATTGCAAGATCTCAAGAAGAGATGACGTCACACACGACCCTCAGCGTCTTCAGGCGTTCCCTTCCCCTCTGCCTCCCAACCGTTACAAGTTAGGTCCTTCATTTGGAGTCTTCGCGTATCAAATAATCGTGCATGCTTCGCAAGCAGAGATAGTTGCGTGCAGGGTATGCGAGAAGCTTCTGGAATTGTCCGCGTGTTGTCGTCACTGTCGCTAGCCAGAAAAAGAAAAAAAAAATGATGCCGGATGAACGGATTTCAGAAATTAGTTTTTAACTCTGAAAATTGTGAAAATTTTTAATTACCGACTGTGGGCGTAGGCAGGGGCCATTCACAAAACTCAAGTTACGTTGACATGCGGATGTGTCGCCAAGGTCACAGTTGCGAAATGCGACAGATGTGTCAGCATTCCCTCCACATTTAATAGACAATGCAGGGTCGTTAAAGAGTTTTATTAAATCATTAACCCGCCCACTGAATTGTGCCTACATATCTCCAGTGTACGTGATTTACACGTATTTTCCTGAAACCATACATTTAGGACAGAAGCTTCCGGTTGTTTGTTTAACTGTTAAACCGCCCGGCCAGTCAAACAGTGTCATCGCATGGCACAGTGTTAACGCCCACGTGACTTGTGCGGACGATGCAAACACGGTCCTTGTGTGATTGGAAACTGCTGTACTTTCGAAGGAAAATGAACCATGAGAAGGATAAGAAAGGTGCCAGTCGTATGTCATTTTATAACATTTTGTCTGCATTTTCTCTTTTATTGTTTATTTCTGTATTATCGTTACCTAGCGTAGATCGATAAGATGAAGAATAGATTAGAAATGATTTAGAAAGAAGTGGTCATGGCCTGATCGAGATAGTAATCTTAGCGTTTTCATAGAGAAACTAAGGGAAAGAACGACAAGCGGTGTCCCAAGATTCGAACTGAACGCCTTACAGATGTAAGTCTGCAGGGTTACCGCTACTCAAGTCTGCTCTTTATACGTGTATATATTGTGACGTATTGTTATAATATTACGCGTCGAGACTGGTTGCTGGGCAGTTTTGTAATATATGCGTTTCTACAATAATGGAAGAGGTTTTCTATGTGGTCCGTGCCGTGGCTATATAACGAGGGTCTGTTACAGCTAGATTAAATGGAGACCCCGTGTGGAGGCGGGGTTGAATACCTCCACCGTGACCCTGCGAGTCGTAGGAGGCGACGAAAAGGGAAGTCTCAAATTTGAGACAGTAATGTATGGTCTCAAGTCCCAAGGGACTAGTGCGCTGGCAAGGGCCAGCAGCATATACAAAAGACAGACCCGTCCTCTCGTCAGAGAGGGCGCCCCACAGAAACAAGACCGTAACAGTCGAGTAGTAATAAATATCTGGTCATGAGCCCCAGGAGGGTGCTCGATACCAAGACTTACTGACTGACTGATCGCCAGTCGCAATGTGACTTTGACTTTGACTAGGTTAGATTGGGGAATTGAGTAAAGTTCCGGAGCTTCGGCATTCGGAGGTGATTTGAAAGGAAATGGCAAGAAGACTGCCTAGTGATTCGAAGTGATAGCTCGTGTGTTAAAATCCGTTGCCAGGAAACGGATAGTGAAGACATTGTAAAGGCCTAGCCATTGTTGGGATCTGTTACCTAGCAACGGCTATTGTAAGCAGCTGTTGAAGGCTTCAATTATGTGTTATAGTTACATCAATCTTCAGAGTGTTATAATTACTTGTACTTAGGAATTTTGAGTATCCAATAAATCGATTCACCAATGCAAACCCCCTCTATATTTCATTAATACGCGTGACAATATGTACATATATATATAATCGAAGTGGCTGGGGTAGATCACGAAAACTACAACATGGACGGCCCCTCTGGAAGTCAGCATTCGGCCTTTGGAATGTAAACCATGTCAGGCGGCTTGCTTTTGTATACACGAAAAATATTTCGTATAAAAATGTCGAATGTTTTATATACTGCCTTGGTGTAGGGCTTGCATGTATAACGCGCTCAGCTGCAATGATGGTTCGGTTACTATCATCAGAGGAAGAGTTGCTGGTGACACGTTTGATTTTCCATTATGGACACAAGTAAAAAATTGCTCACATTTAGAAATCTGTGTGTTATACTGCTGGGCCTGCTGGGTATGTGTCTTTTTAGCTGTTCAATTTTGTTATAATAACACAAGCCAAGAAGCTAAGTTCTCAGAATGCAGTGAGAAAGTAAAGCCCCAGTGCTTACTTAAGCATGGAAACATATAGCGGAGTGCAGACATAGTTCATTATTCTCAGCTTGTACTCTACATAGTGGTGAGGGGTCAGCTTCACGCTCCTGCCGCTTTACCTCCTGCGAAAATGCCCACGGTACCCACTGGATAGGAGGCTGGGTGTCCCCCACAGCCGGTCTGGACAGTGTGGAGTAAAGAAAACCGCTTTCCTTCACTGAAAATCGAACCCCAGCCCCTACACCATCGCTATACAGACTGTTTTTTTTTTCTTAAAATGTTGGAGCACGCATTTAAAATAATTCTTAAATTGAATATGAAAGATTCCGATATCACGTTTACGCTGCATATATTTTGAGCGATAGAAACACGTTTAATGTGTGATGAGAAACAGTGACACTGTTCTCTAGGCTACAGATGAGCAGAGTCACGGAAGAAAACCATAAATCGCATTACGACCGCGGTGAATTTCTTTGCATTGTAATTACGCTTGTTATTTCTTACTTTGTGGTAATTGACACAAGATCTCTGCAAACAAAAGAATTGAAGAAATATATACGACTTTCAGTAGTTCATACATACAGTTCTCAGTTTCATTAATTCCACTAGGATTTAGAAGGAAATGCGCGAGATTTATGACGTGTATTGTTTAGAACTGACACCCTACATTTTTATGAGCCTACTAACTGAAGGGGCCTAAGTGCTCAAGAAATCATTGAAGGTCACAACTTATTTCACACATGTCAGTGATGGCGTGGAAAATCTACATCCTTCGTACTTTTGCTGGTTATAACCGCATATGAGCGAGAAATTACTGGCTTTGGATCCACATAAGGAAGAAGAAAACAAGATCCTTAGTAATGCGATAAAAAATTGTATTATCATCTTCATCTTTCGCCTTCGCGGTAACAGCTCAGCTTCCCACATTTTCGGGTGATAAGCAGAAGGAGACAGTTGGGAGGACGTTCTGATTCATTCAAAAATTTCCGGGAACTTTCAGAGAAGCTCACATAAAAAGAGCATCATAATTTTTACTGTTCGCCAGATACTTGGAACTAAATTTAATTATAATAGGATGATTAATGACACCTTCGTCCAGTGTGACTCAGTTATATTTCTTTAACTCCGCGGCCTGTAATCCGCAAGAGAACTATACCGACCGAGCGACCGCCGCTTGTCACGAAGTTAATGCCAACTTTATGGGATAGAGGGTGTCGCGTGGTCAGCGCAACGGATCCCTACGGCCATTAATCTCGATTTTCTAAACCGGAGCCGCTATTTCTTCGAAATAGCTCCTCAGTTATCCTCACGAGGCTGAGTGGACCCCGTTCCGGACCCACTACGTAGTTCTCATAAAATCTGGTCGCGCCGGGAATCGCACCTGGGACCTCTGGATTTGAAGCCAGGAACTCTGACAACTAGACCACAGAGGCGGTCCTAGGAGTGTGTTAGGGTAATCAAATGTATGTATTCTTTGTAGGGGTAGAATGAAGAGGGCGCCGAGTGACCGCAGGATACAAAATAACGGATCAGATACATTATATCATGAAGATACAGGGAAAAGCTATGAATAACAGATATCAGGACAATAATAAGAAAGATTGTCGTAAGAAGTGGATAGTATACCATAAAATGGAACTTTCTGTCAAAGGACGTAAAACGTGCGATAAAACTATGGTAAAAGTAAAGCTATCCCTGTAACAGGTCGTGGAGGCCCATAGGGTTGTGAGACGCCGAGACTCCCACATTATCTCCAGATAATCGGCTCACAGATGGCGGTAAGGTTGTCAGCCTTACGCGTCGGCCGCCCATCACCCCCAGGAAGATTCCCGATACCCATTCCTGTTAGAGACTGGGTCGACCCCAGGACTGTAGTGCGGCTGGAAGGATTAGGTAAATTGAAAATAGTCCACCTCATCATGATTCGATCCCGCGACCTTCCGGCTTGTAGCATAGTGCCTAAAACAACTACGCTACCGCGTGCCCAGATTTACTGATGAATGATAAAGAAAAATATATTCAGCTTCAAAGCACACCCTCTTGCAATACTTCCTTCCCTTCAGTTCAATTAACGTTACCTAATTTCAGATTCACTCCTTACATGAAATTCCGAGGATTTGTGCAACACTTTGATTCTGAGTTACACTGTTATATATGTGAATGTTAATGACTTTGAAATTCAGTGTAGTGAAATCAGTTTCTGTTTGAATAAGCGACCCGTCATGCGTGAGGAATCGATTCACACTGGGACATTGGTTCTGCACACTCTTTCACATTGCATATAAAGCCGAAGGCCAAAATACACATGAATCATNGTGAAGTAAAGCTAACCCTGTAATAGGCTGTGGAGGCCCATAGGGTTGTGAGGGGTCGAGGTTCCCATATTTTCTCTAGACAATCGGCTCACAGATGGCGGTGAGGTTGTCAGCCTTACGCGTCGGCCGCCCTTCACTCCCAGGAATATTCCTGATACTCATTTCTGTTAGAGGCTGAGTCGACCCCAGAGCCTTATTGCGGCTGGAATGATTAGGTCAATTAAAAAATCCACCTCATCGGGATTCGAACCCGCGACCTTCCGGCTTGTAGCATAGTGCCTCAATCAACTACGCTACCGCGTGCCCCTTTATGTTACAATAAGGTTAAATTAAATACATGCTGTGTCGGACTAGATCTCTGCCAGTATTTTAACGAGGACCCCGCTGCGTATTTAATTAGGCTTAGGGAGCTCAATAAGCAACAATATTTCCTCACCTGTCAGTATATCACATACGTCAGTAATGGAGTGACCAAGGAGGTTATGCATAGACCTTATCTAGACAAATGACAGTAATTGTGTGCGTCAAAGGAAATTAAGTGTTCTACTGATAAAAT